CGAGCGGAGAAACTAACTACAGTAGTCACCCCCATTATCTTATGCATGCTAAGTATCTTGTGAAGTGTGTATTTCAATGTCAGAAATACGTAAGCAATCGCACTTGATTCAAAGGAATCAGTTTTATTCGAGAGAAACTCGGCCTCAATAGAATTTTCTCATTGGGTTATTGTGGGCTTAGGCTGACTGCACTCATGCAATGAATCATGCTCACATTCACGTCTGGGCATGGTGACCGACTTACGGATCCATCATGGTGTGATTCGCTTCCTTACCGGACCGACAGAGGTCAGTTGACTCCGGGTTAGTACATTCGATCAACGATCACGAACATAACGTTCCTGGGTGGAACGGGTGTGTGGGGGAGGCGGGGAGAGAACGGTCCACCTCGACCCACCCACCACCCTACCGAAACATTCAACCTCGCTCGGTAACTCGCGAAAAATGTACTTTTGTTTGTTTACCGAGAAATTAGTTTATTCGAACTGGAGGGGTTTTAGACAGACCCGGTCCAATCGGTGATAGTTGACGGTCAAAACACCAATCATCTTGTCGGGGTTTCCAACGGAGTGCGATTGGTTGGATTCACTTGAACTTACGGTGGATTCAATTGAAGTTGAAAAGGCATGGTTATTGTTGTTTGCACAGCTTGTTTCGCTCTTCGCTGATCGCTTTTATCCATCGACCTCGCGTCATTTGGACGCCCATGTATGCTGTTCTCGATACATTTCATTTGATGTCCTCTTTTTCATCCCCCACATACACAGTCTATGCGGATGTAGAGAATGTGATCGAAAATTTTCGTCATTTGCTACGCAACCAGTTGACCACAATGCCTATTGATTGTGATGAGGCCAAGCGTAAGATAAAGTGAGTCCCCCCCCCCATCCATTGTAGNGGCATAATCACTGTTGACTTCACAGGCTACAACGATCCACGTAGAGTGACGCGCCAAAACCCGGAATACGGTCTTTCAACAAATGAATTTCTTCTACAAAATCGATACTGAAATACAGATTACAATAGTGTAAAATATGCAAACCTCAAACTGTGGCGCTAGCCGGTTAACAAACACTGGAATCTGTGAAGACAGTAATTCGACGAGCAAGAACTGCGAGCAAGCAGGCGCACAGTACGATGATAATAGAACGAATACACCGAATTATGTCGAACAAGATCACGTGAATCTGTGTCGGAAAATTGGCAATGTTCTCTAGGTCTAGAGTGATTAGAAAGGAAGTATCAAAGCGATTAAATTCACCAGCGGTAATACATAGGGACTGGTCAATACAACTGGCGAATTGCGTCACTACAGTATCAGAAAATAGTCTTAAGTCGGGGGTGAGTGCCTCAGGGGCAATATAAATATTCACGAAGTATAT